TATTTATTTCTTATTTTTAGTTATTTTTATTTATTTTATTTTTCTTTAAATAAAAGATCTTTTACTTGGCATTTGTGTATTAAAAATTACTACAGCTTGCTAGTTTTTAGTAAATTTTATTATAGTATCATCTATTATCAAATATATTACTAAATAATTTATATTGTTTATATTCTTTATTTATTATATAATTAGTTTGATATTGTAATTTTAATGACTGGTAAGAATTTTGGTACTGAATAATAAACTGATCTTTTAAAGAAAAAAATGTTATATTTTTTATAACAACTTTTTTTTTGAGTTTTCTTTGTATCTTTCTTCTCTACAAACTAGACATTCTTGTAAATCTTTCAAATTACTGATAAAGGTGCAATAATTTTTTATATAACAATCAATTCATATTGGATTAATTAATACTAGACTTAATAATTTTTTAGTAACATGATATAATAATATATTTTGTTTACTAAAAGCATCTATTATTTTACAAAATATATCATTTTTATATTAGAATGAACTTTTATTTTTAGAAGTCTCAAAGCTTCAGAAAATCCAAAAAGTAGTTGAATTATTGTATAATTTAAAAAAATAATAAAAATTTTAAGAATTAAAAAAAATATAAAAATATCTAAAATTTGATTTGCTTTATAATCTTTATTTGACTTGCTATTTGATATTGAATTTGAATCTGTTAGTAGTTCATTATTAGATATACTAAAATCAAATTCAACAATATATAAGAATTATTATTCTAATTAATTTAAACAAATACTAATACAAAAAAAATATTTGCTTATTTTTTACTAGTTTTCTAAAAGTATAATTTAACAATTAGTAAATGATTTTAGATCTACAATTTCAGTATTGCTCAGCATTTAATCATTAAAGATTTGTTCATTATTGTTTAATTCTTGTTTATTATCACTTAATTCTTGTTTAACAATACTTATTCCTTGTTTATTGTTATTTAATTAAGATTTTTTGTCTTAAGAATACTTTTTATAATAATATATATATGTTGAAATAGAAACTAAATTTTGACTTAAAGGTGTTCTTTAGCATTTTAGACAATTACAAAGGACTTTTAACCCTTTATTATTTATTTTTTTTTCTTTTAATAACTTTTAATAATCATTTGAATTATTTATAACAATAAAATTTTTCAATAATTAAATTTTGATGATAAAAGAAAAAAAAACAACAGTATTGCTATAATAAACTTTAAAATTATATATAATAATATATTAAATTATATACTTTTATAAAAGACAATTTATCATAGAACTTTTATAACAAATAATATTAATTAATTTAAATATATTTGTTTAAAATACTATTTATATATTTATGTGATATATAAAAAAAATAGTTGTATTACATCAGAGATAGTGTTTATAAGCAGTAATAATTAATTGTACATACATGTATATAATTTTACTGATTTTATATTTATAAATTGTCTTTCTTTTTCTTAACAAAATATAAATCTTTTTCATATAAGATATTATTTATTATAAAATAAATGAAACATCAGATTATTATTCAAATTCAGAAAATAATTCTTTCACTAGCAAATTAACTTCCCATAAACAAGATGCAATATCAAATAAAATTATCAAGGCTAAAAAGAAAATTTCTGAACTTAAAGATGCTTTCACATTAAAAGAAGCAAGATTGAATAAAAAGCAAAAAGGACTGTCAAATCAAAATAAAATGCAAATTGAATTTTCTAATAATAGAGCCTCTAAAATAACAATAAATAAAGTGAAAAAAGAATCATCAAGTTGAAGTAAGGTGCAAATAGTAGAAGATAAATCTTCTGATGATAAAGCCTCCAAAGTGAAAATGAATAAAGTGAAAAAGGAACCATTAAATCAGAATAAAATGCAAATTATAAATAAATCTTCTGATAATAAAACCTCTAAGACAACAATAAATAAACCAAATAAAGCGCCAATCATAAATAAATTTTCTAATGAAAAGGGAAAGAAAAAACCATTAAAACGAAGCTGACCAGAAGAAAATGATGCTGAATTTTTTAGTGATGATCCTGAACAGGTATTCGAAAAATGAATGTTTAATTTATATACATATTTTCTGTCACTTAATTTGATAGCCAATTAAAATTCATTATCGTTATCTAGAGAGATGTTTTAATTCTAACACGTGCATTTGTAAATTGAAGTGATAAGTATAACGTTAGTTTTGACTTAAAAATTATGGCATATCGACTTCCTTTTGGAAAATTACTTCATCATTCAACAAGGAATCTCTTGATATTGGTATATGGATCACATTTTCAAGCATTAGATACAAGGTCTTTATTCTTTTTTTTGGCATAAATTTCACATATAAAATGCTTAACAATTTTATAAATTTTATAAAATTTTATAGCACAGGTGCAATAATAGCTAGTACATGTACTTTATATTCAGATAATACCGATCAAGAACCTACAACACCTCAAGTAAAATATATTTCAACTAGCGATGTGAAAGAAGGTTCCATAAGGGCCATTGCATTTCACAATAAAGTTGATGGATCTTTACTCGCATCAAGTGGCGAGAATAAGCTTTTGAAGGTCTGGGATATTAAAGAATGGAAGTTACTTAGTTCAAGGTAAAATTTATTATAGTATTCTCGATTTATCTAAAGTTTATTAATTAAAATAATTTGACTATAGACCGGTTCCGAAACGCGTCGTATCCATTGCGTTAAATAACGATGGATCACAAATTATAACGGCAGACAAATTTGGAGACGTTTATAGGTAATTATTCAATAATTGTGGCGGCTGAAGCTGAAATTTTTAAATTTTTTGGGGGTACATTTTTTTAATTAGAATTTAGGGTTGAATTGTTAATAAAAGATTATAAGTAGATTTTAGTAGATCCAAATAAAGACCCAAATTTTAATTTCAGTTGTAGCCTCCGCAATAATTACGCGAATTATTTAATAACCAAATAATTTTTTTTTAACCTATAGTTATCCAACAAATCCTGAGAATACTTCAAAATTATTGTTAGGTCACGTATCTATGATCACCGATATGGTAATAAAAAAGAACGAATGTTAAAGTTCAGTTTCCAACAAATTCATCTTGTAATTCTTTTTCAATAATTGTTTTAAATAGGTGCTGACACCAAACAATGAATTTGTTATCACAGCTGACCGTGACGAACATATACGTGTCAGTCAATTTCCAAAAGGATATAATATCGAATCTTATTGTTTTGGTCATACACAGTAAGCAATTATTGTGTTCAATAATTATCTGTAATAGATAAAATATTATTTAATTTATGCCATTATTTTGTCATTGTTTTTTTTTTTTTTTTTAGATTTCTGTCAAGGTTACACATATTACCTTGGGACTCTGATTTATTACTTTCTGCAGGTGGCGATGATTTTATTGCTTTATGGGATTATGTGCCAGGGAGATTAATACAAACACTTGATATTAAAAACTTTATACAAAATCAGGTAAAGTTACATTTCAATCTAAATATATATTATTTCTGCATTATTACGAATTTTTCGTCATTATCTTTTTATATTAAGCTCATTGAAGCAAACGAATCAAACATTGATGCCACGAATACCATATCTGAATCAAAGAACATTACAGTCATGTCTATTTCAAGCAGCATTGTTATGCAGCATATTGCCATAATCATAGAGAAGTATGTTTTTTTTTTTTGATGCAAATAGTTTAATCAACCTTAATTTTTTTATTTGACGTGATTACACGCGTTTAATATAAAAGATTTCCAGGGGTCTTAATATTAAATTGGGATGCAGAGCAACGCCATGTTAAGTATATGCAAACGTTATCACTTAATGCAAATCCATTGGATTGTGCATATGATCTCCGAGGAAATTTGTGGGTCTCAAGTTCATCGAAGGATGGTGGTGACATTGAAGAAGGTTTAATAACTCTTTTCCTAAGACAAGACAACAATAAGGTTGGCAATGAAAAAAAAAAAGATTATACAATATTGAGTATAATTAACAGAATTAATAATATTATTCTTGAATAGTACGAAAAAGCTTCAAGGGATCATCAATTGGTTTATCAAATAAATAAATTTGGATCTATGAAAAGTAAGTACCAGTAATAAAATAATAAATTCATATTATTAATTAACAATATTATTCATTAACAATTTATTTCATAATTCTGCAGATGATGTGCTTCCAGAACTATACACTACCAGTCAACTTCGTAAAGATCCTACTGATTGGAGAAAACAAAAAAACCAAAATGAAGATGAAGATGTTCCAGAGGAAGCTAGTGAAGAATCCACCAATGAATCGATATCGTTACCGAAAAAGAAAACATTACCAAAAGGGGAGAGTAAAAGAAAGAAAAAGAGAATTAGAACAGAATAACATGTTTTATGATACAAAAATGGATTGGTGTGAATTGTTTACCATTAGTTCTTACAAAGATTACAAAGTGGAAAAACTAAGAGTGTGTAACATTTTGCTAATACCGAGAGATAACACCGACATACATAAGTCAGGTTAACAAAAACTGCGTTAAATAGAAATAAATTATGTAATTTGTTAGAATAATGATCAAATATACGTTATATGTCGTATTATTAAATAATATTATGTAACAATAACATTGGTCGTTTTTCCGATTTACCAGCTTTACATATTATTTTTAATAAATGAACGGTCCATTACTAATAGATTTGTTGAGTATAATAAAAATTGGGAATAACTTACTTCACCAATTAGAGTTTAATAACGAAATTGTTAATAAATTTAAGGTTTTGCACTCCTGATTGCCACTACATAAAGATCGATTATGAGCAATAAGTAATAACGATATCGATATAACTGGTATGTAAAAATTATTATTATCGTTATTATTATTATTATTATTATTACTGTATATATTATTATGGTTATTATTATTATTCTTCTTATTGTTATTATACGTATACGTACGTATTATCATCATTATTATTATCATAACTTATTATTATATATTATCGTATTTATATAATACGTATAATATTATTATTAAATATATATTATCATTATCGTTATTATTACAAATCAATATGTAATGAAAATACAGATATTTAATACGTATAGAAAAAAAATTTAACAATATTTAACACGAATATATTTAATGCTAATAAAGAAAGCAAAGAACAGACCAATGATTAACAACCAATGCGGGTAAATGTACAAGCCCCTTAACAAATAAAGCACATGAAATATTTCCAAAAAACTTTGATAATTGGACTTTTTTACTTTACTGTGTAAGTAAATTTTCTAAAAATTTCTCTCCTGCATACAATGACAATATACTAAAGGTTATTCATTAGTTAAATCAACAAAAACGAGTATAAATATTTGATGATCAGTTTAGATTAAAAACTGGATCATATGCAAGATGTTTAGTTTTGCATATAGTAAGTGCACATTTTGCAGAGAGATAAACCATACTTTAAACAGAAATTAACAGGTTTCGTTCATCTTATAGCTCAAATGATGGGAATTAAAGGTTGGATCATATGACATACCGGTAGAAATCAGGAAATTATTGTGAGAATCAATGGTAAATCTTTATTTCACGAGGCATCTGTTTTTTTTTTTTTTTTGAGTTTGGTAATCGTAATGCGTAAATGTAAAAAAAAAAATCACGTTTAATAATAATCGGAACAAAAACGTTATACGTAGTTATCGTGTGAAAAAAAAAATTATTTTTTTTCTTTGAATTTTATTATTTTCTAATTCATAAGAATTTTTCCAATGAAAATGATTTTGTAGACGAATTAGGTGAAATTAAACGAAAATTGGTAAATTATGAAGGAACGAACAATAATTTTTCCCGAAAAATAATATCATTCCCAAAGAATAAAAGAAAAAAAAAAATTATGTAAAAAAAAAAAATGAAATTGAAAAAAGGAATAAAAAAAAAACCTATATACATTTATCGTTACAAAATCTTTGATTATACATAATGAAACGTAAAATGATGTGTATGCATAGAAAGAAATATGAATGAAATTAAGTAAAAAAAAAGATTTATACAAATAAAATAAAAATATACATTAAAGTACGAAAAAAGACATCGATATTTGATTATGGTTTCATAGAAAAATATCTATACTTTAATTGCTTGAGATGATGTAGTAGATTGAGTAAGGTTGGAACAATTTTGTGAATATTTGTTTTTAGCACGATCATGCATAAGTAGTGTGCTGGTATTAGCGGGTTTTTGTGCAAGACCAGACGGAATATTAGAGTGAATGTTTGGTATCGAGGAGATTCCATTATGTGATTGGAAAGACTGTGTACTAAGAGGGCTGGGGATCGAAGAATCATAATTAAAACTTGAAGATAAATTTGTTAAACTTGGTGTTCTTGATCTTGATAACATCCTTAAACTTTGTTGAATCGCAGGGTTACTTAAAGAATTAACAGGAGTTGTAGGAGAACGAATGGTATTTGGTGTGGAATTTGAGGATGGCAAATTTTGTATTTTCAATGGAGCCGGAAGCCTTGCAGGTGGTGTTATTGGACTACTAGGAATACTTGATGATTTAATACTACTAGAAGGCGTATTGGGTGTATTGGGTGTATTGGGTCTTGAAGGGATAAAAGAAGCTGACACGCTGGATGCTCTTGAATGAACAGGCATTTTTGAAGACATTGGTGTGAAAGGACTAGCGGGAGGAGTCTTTGGAGAGCTAAATGAAGAGCCAAATGGAGAGCCAAATGGAGAGCCAAATGGGCTAGAAAATTTTGGAGATCCAAACTTCGGTAAACTTGAAGTGGGAATTTTAGAATGGATAGCCTTGGTACACTCAGACTTCATGTTGTTAACAAGTTTTAATATACGACCATATACACGTTCAAATCCTTTATCCTCAACATTTTTTTTTAAGATTTTAGAATTTTCGGAACCATCGTCTGCTCCGTCCGAACCAATGTCTTCACAAACATCTTCACAAACATCTTCACAAATATCTTCGCAAATATCATCACAAACATCTTCATAAACATCTTCACAAACATCTTCACAAACATTTTCAGCATCGAAATCGGAAACATCCTTTCTCTCGGTAATTTCCGTTTCAGCCAACAATTTTCGTAATTTATCGCGCTCCTCATTTGACTCTTTTAAAGAAATTTCTAACTCGGCGACTTTCGCCTCTAAAATGGTATTAGCAGTTCTTAAGAATGTATATTCTAATTCTTCTACACGTTGTTCTAACGAAGATAACCTTTTTGATTCTTTCTCATTAGTAGAAAGTTGGTGAACCATAGTTGAATATAAGTAGTAATATTTCCTTAATACTTTGTTTAATGGAGTTTATTTACAAAAAAAAAAAGTGGAGTTCAACTAATAAATTTTTGCGCGGACATTCAGAATATTCGTGGTGAGTGGCTTTTATTAAATTTAGTAGACTGCATTAGACTGTACATTACCGGTTTTGTTTATCGACTTTGCCACGCATTTCCGATACTAATATCTTTTTGAAATTATTAAAGTTACAAAAAAATAAGTGTATATAAATTATATTAAATTATATTAAATATTTATTAAATATTTAAATATTATAAAATTAAATTAAATTATATAAATTATACATGTACACACATTTGAGGTAATTTACAGTAAACCGTAGTGTAAACATAAACAGTACTGTAAAGTTATAAATGTAGTGAACTATTAATCCATAAGTGGTGTACTATTTGGTGCACATATAAGTTTATGTTTTACCCTTTTACTTTCTTTGGCTTCACCATTGTGTAAATATAACCTTCACTAATCTTTATTCGCTGATTGATCCTGTACAATTGTACTACCTTAACTATTTGCAACTGACTTTTCATATTTCGGCCCCTAGAAAATTTATTACACCATTGTACACTAGCGCTACAGTGTATATAGTAATGATAATGTATACGTATAGATATGATGATGACATGATAACCAGATGATAACCAGATGATAACAGAGCATTTAGCATTTAAGTCATGATTTATACGTAGAATATATATATGTACATATCAATACGTATACCGATACGTAAATATCAATATACGTAAATGTAAAAAAAAAAAAACCGGTAAAGCCGGATTATTCTTTGGTTTTTATTTGAATCAGGTGAATTAGATGAATTACAGAATTATGTAGAAAGATAGATCAGATGAATACAGCCTAATTGAAACTGATTCAATTGATGTAATTGATGAACATATCGATATATATGTTTTTTTTTTTTTAAACGTAAAGGGAAATAATTGTTAGCCACAAATTCAAATTTGTCTGAGCGGAAAGTTTACATATTCTAAGCTTTTTTCTTTCGAAAATCTTCTTAAAATGCAACGAGTTCATGAGTCTGAAGAACGTAGTGGTCATACACCCCCTCCACCCTATACGCTGGTTGACCAGTTCACTGATGGTAGTACGACTCAGGTAAGCGTTTTGTGGCTTGGCTATGCTTTTCGTCCTGGTGAGTCTGTTAACGATCTATTGAGAAAAAAAAAATTTTTTTTTTTTAAAGACCCAACAACATTCACAAAATACATACTCGGAGAACTCACCAGACTCTGACTTTCGTCTGGCTCAAAAACTTCAAGACGAGGAATATGCTCGCTGGGCAGAATCTAATCGGCAACAGGATCTGGTATCCAATGTTGGCGAATCGTCTGTCGACCATTTTCATTCCCGAGTAGTTCCACCTATACCTGAAAATTATCGATGTAATCATCATCTTCCTTATCAAAGCAATTTAACTCAAAACCCACAACCACAACCACAACAACAATATCCAATAATTTATGCATCTCCAAATCAACCTCCCCTACCTTACAATCATCCTGATTCTTACATTAGTAATGGTGTTGGAGGAAATTTACAATATTATGGAAGTTTGAATCAAGATCGAACTGGTAATATTCTTTTAGTCAATTTGATTATTAAACTTATTAAATCAGTTTATTAGATCTGAATATTAAATTTGTTCTATTTCATATTCATAGCTTATTATCAATTACCACGCCCTTATCCATATTATAATAATTATCAAACTACACAACCACAAACTTCATATCACACTATTGATGATGATGATAATACAGCTTCAGGATGTCTAACTGGATTGTATGAACGTTTTATTTCTGTTATTTTGATTTTAATAGTGATTGGTTTTGTTTCCGTCTTTGTAAACGGTTAAAGGTCTTTTTGGATGTTAAATATTATTGGCGAATTGGCTATTAATTTGTTCAAACTCTCACATATATATTTTTTTTTTTCCTTTTCTCGTTTGGGAATTCCTGACGAATTATTAGTTCTTTGGCAGCTTGCTTATTTTTTATCTGTACCCTATACGATGACTAAGAATTTCAAAATGACTTACATCCTGGTAAAGTTCCTTAATTTTCGCGAGAATGCCTGATGGTTTCTGATCCTGCTATTTTTATACTGTATATATAGAAAAAAAAACTATTTTGCATTCATTGAAAATGAATTATAAAACTTGGACATTTAGATTTTTTAAATACAATATATTATTCAAATTTTGATAATTCACTCTCATTTTAGTCTTTATTGTTATTTGTTTTCGTTTCGGTATACGTAAAGGGTATGTCGAGAATTCACGTGATATACGCACATAGAATAATTTGAAAAATAAACGTCTTTTTTTTTTTGCAAGATTAATGTCGAACGATTTTTCTGTGTAGCATGTAGTGATCACTGATCCAATTCGGTGTGGGAAAGTAGATTGCTATTTTGTTAGGTGTATTGTTCTTTGAAAGTTTTTAAACAGATTATCAGCAAGTTTTGTGCAGGTTTTTTCACTTTCTTCTAATATTGATAATATACAGTAATAAGGCATGTTTTGGTCAAAAGATTCTGTATCACATGACATCATTTATGTCAACCGTTGATAATCTTTTTAATAAATTTCCTAGTTTTAATATTCTAAATTAAAAATTGGCTCCCCTGTAGTACTATCATTTATTTAGTAAATACTGGATGTTACAAGTTACCACAAGAACAAACAACGCCACATGAACATATAAAGAACCGAATCCGTATGTTCTTATCATTAGGATTCGTTGTAGGATTCGTTGTATTGATTTTTTTGCCAAGTTCAATGAAACCCGTTAATGTTAATTTCCAGTCTTTCGTTATATTGAAACAGTTTTGGACATTATCACAACTGAGATCTAAGGAGAAATACGCTATGTAAAATCATCAAAGACCATAATTAATGATGCATCGACCAATTATCTAAGAAAAATTACGCCGTGTTATCATTTAATGTTTCGCAAGATTTTTAAAGCCACATTAATTTCGTGGTATGCATAAAGAATAGCCCATTATTATGTATCGGTATGTAACTATGTATATAGAATATTTCTAAGGTCAATGCTCCGATTACGCATAATCCTTTTAGACAAAGATAAAAAAAAACAACGAAAGGTTTAAAGTACGCCGCAATTTTTTTGTCGATTTGACAGCAAGCCAATGAACGCATGTACATAAAAAGGAAACTTCATTTCACTTAACGCTAAATTTTGAGAACCTTTTTTAGGTTACAGGCTTATAATTTATCCAAAACGGTAAAACCGAATTCGCGATTTCTTACAATGAACTCATACAAGAACGTAATTAGGATAATTTCCTATTATTAGATCACACAAAGTTGCGGCTCACGTGATATGAGAAATTAGGTAATTTATTCTATGTAATAAAGTTTTATCACATGTTAACCAAAATCATTTTTTTTAGAAAATGAGTTCTCGAATTGAAACTATAGATTTTTAATTCGGATAAGACGATAATTTTTAAGTTATTTAAAAGTAGGCTTGCCCAAATTATCGTGATTCATAAAGTAATGGTTTTGTTCATTTTCATTAACCCTGATCATGGTTTGAAAAAAAAAGTATCAGTAGGTGTGTACAAATTTTTAGGTTACGTAGGACAATTGTACTCGTGTCCCGGGCCTACAAAAGTTCTCAATTCTTGGTTGTATAAATTACTTCTTTATCACTACTTCTTTATCACGCTAAAAAAAAGATCTTTGCATGGCAGAATTCTATGAAACTGCATTTTAAATAGATACATATCGAATATAATCGTTTTTAGTTAATGCTAAAAAAAAAAAAAAGATTTACAAAGCGTTTTAAAGATCGCCTTTTTTTTTAAAAAAAAATTTTCAAATGGCTGAAATTAGTGAATCATTTGGGCGGCAACTGTAAAAAATGAGTTTATTATTATATTATATGATTTAATAAAAAATTGTGATGTCCAACGATAAGATTAAAGATGTAAATAAGTATCCTTTTGATTTTATTTGTGACACCAACGACATTTTGAAATTCGTAAAACTTGATTAGATAAATTTGGCTAGTAAAATAATAAATATCTAGAGCAGTGTAAAAAAAACCTTCATCATTATAGAATTCGAAGAATTGGTCTATTACGTCGTTATCTATATAAATTTAGCAATAGCATATGTACTTGCGTACTAAATATCATAGGTTGAGACTAAAAAATCGCGCGATATTGTAATAACAAATAACTACTTTCAGACACTGTACGTACGTATATACCTTTAATGGGTTCATTAGATCAAAAGGTTTACCATATTTCATTTTGTAAGGTACTACATCCTACGTGTTAATTTATCAGTTTCTACTAATGTTACCGGTGAATTTCTGATTACCATAACGCAATGTCATGGGACATGTCATGGGATATTGGCTATATTCTATCAACGTTAAAAAAGAAGCTGCAAACACATTATTGAACCTTCTTTTTGGTTTTAAAAAATGATTAATTCTATTAATTCGTACCAATTTGAAACCGTTACAAATAAAAGGGGCACGCACAAATCAAGGTGACCTTAGACGGCAAAATGGAGTTGCAAGTCTTTTACATTGCGCGACACCTAATTACGTCCAAAATAACTAATTGTTTGAGACATAAAAAGAGAATAGTTTATATTTATATAATCAGAATATTATTTATAGAATAAACCGTTTTTTTAAATAAAATATACTTATCTATTAATGTGCATTATTAAAGTTCTAGTATTGATTTACATAGGTATGTGTCAGAGTTTTCAGAAATCGAACTTCACACATATTACTGATCGACTGATCAAATGGCAGTGCCAAATTTCTAAAAAAAACTAAAGCTTCGATTGAATCATGTCATTTTTAAAAGAATCTCTGATTAGTATGTTAGTCACATATGCATGAAGTCACTTCTCTGTCATATGATACCTGAATTCTGGTAATTTCTTCCCTATGAACTGATTGGCTGTACTAATTATTAACTGTCCTACTTGTCCTACTTAAAAATTTCGCACGACCAATCAAAATTTAATGATCATCCAACATTTTAAAAGGTTTCTCAATAACTACTTGACCAAATTCGGTAAAAATTTTTTATTATCTACATTTGCAAAATGAATTCGGTTTAGTGGTTATCGAGAAATCTTTGCTATAATTAAAAAAAAATAATCAGAATATTAGAAAAAAAACAAAAAAATTTAGCAAAATTTTAATTTTTTAAATTTACGCAAAGTTTTCTCAACAATTTATTCAAATTTAATGAAATTTTTTTATTTGAATTTTATGAGTTTATAAAATTAAAATAAAACAAATTTATCGAATTTGTATAGGTAGTTGTTAAGAAATATTTATTAAAAGTTATTTTGATTTACTCTTTGTATATAGGCCAATTTGGTGTAAAATCGTAACATAGTACGTAAAAAAAACCATTTTAAACACTAGCTCTCGGACTCAGGTGATGCTCCGGAAGCTAGGTCCCAAGTTTTTTTTACTATTCAATTTGGAGTTTTTTAGTCTTCAGACCTTGTTGATGTTTTAAAAACTAGTTTCAAGTTTTTTTACTATTTAATTTAAAGATTTTTTAATCAAAAAACTAAAATTCAATATTATTTTCTTAAAATTTAAAATTATAAAGTTTAAATATTGAAATAATATAATTTTATATATAGAACAAAATTATTTAAAGTATAAAATAGAATTAATTAATAAAGTTTTAAGAATCATAAGATTTTTTATATTTTTATTAATAAATTATTAAAAATTTTAAGATTTTTAAACTTTTATTAATTAATTCTATCTTTATATTTTAGACAATCTAATTTTATATATAAAATTATATTAAAAAAATATATTATATTTATTAATTTTAAAGAAATGATTTTTTTTTTTTTTAATTTTGGTGACAATGCCAGTTGGTTTATTAGCTTTAATTTAATATAGTACAGATTTATGGTTATATTTTTAGTATCAATTATTACTAATACTATATACTATCTAATTTTACATTACTGATTTCACCCAGTTACCTTTATGGTACCTAAGTGCATGTCTGTCACATGCTTGCATGCAGTTACCTTGACAACCACTTGCAATTATGACATACATTAAACTGCTACATAGACAAGATATCTATTGAACTTAATATAGCATCCCAAATGTTAGGAGTACTGTCTTCTGTAAATCATACCTATGTGTCTCATTCACATGTTTTATCTGGTCTTGTTTCTTCTGTTTCCTACATTTCTCATTTTTTCATTACTGTATTACTTTTAAATTGGTTCTATTCAGATATATCTGATCCTTATAATCTTCTTATTTTTGGTATGTCTGTTATTATTTCTTTTAAGGTGTTCTGACAATAGTCTAGGATCTGTAATAAACCTGTATCTTAAGTTAGATCTGCTGTCATCATTAGTCTTTTTGATCAATTCATATCTCAAGCCAAATTTGTTGTCATTATTTTTGCAGATATCTTAGGTCTTAGTATCATATAGTAACTCAATATTGCATTTAACCTTCAACATGGTGTTTCTTTTTATGGTAGAGACTGAGACTTGTTGTACTTACAAACAGAACAATTCTGGTTATATCTAGGAAGTTTCTCTAATTCTAGTAATACTATACTACTATATATTGCAAGCTTTCAACTTATTCAACAATATCTGCAAGATAATTCTGGTTATATCTAGGAAGGTATACCAATCTCAGTGATACCATACTAATTTGCAGATTTATTTCATATTAGTTGGTTGATTCCTAGTCTTGTTCATCATAGACTTCTATATAGGTATAATCAGAACCTGATTTAATACTTTTACATTATATAAGGAAGTTATATTCCTATCTCTAAGATCTTTTTTTTTATAATTAGATTATTTAGCTATGTTAAAAATGCTTCCAATTTTTGGTTAGACCAATTTTTTATCACAGTCTGTTCTCATGTATACCACTTCTCTCATCATTCTAGTCTTGGTTACTTTTAGATTACTCTTCCAATCAAATCCTCTTCTTAAATTCCAATTAAGACTTATTTACACAATTTGTTGATTATTCTTTCAAGCAAGTACTTCACAAATTGAGTACAAAGATGTTGGTACTGCCTATATTAGAAGGTATAAGAATTTTGATACTGTTCTAGCCTAAAGGACTTATATATGCAATCTTTTTATAAACATAACTTTCTGTAACAACTGCTTGTTACATATAGTACCTCTACTCTATGATTGGATCTTTTTCCAAGAATTTTTATTTTCATCATTGTACTATACTTGGACTTCAACTACAGGGTTTCATATTTAATTACAGGCTTCTTATTAGATTACAAAAACTAAAATTTTTTAATTTTGTCTCTAGCCAAACTTGAATCATTGATCTTGACTATGGAAGATATAGGAGCTTAACCACTAAGCTATGGAACCCATACCCTTAAAGAAATGATATTGGATTTTAGTTTTTTTAATAAAAATATATAAAAACTTGTATATTTCAAATAATAATTCTTTTGACAACTTTAATTTAAATTTAATTATAAATAAATACAATACAAGTTTTAAATATATCTAAATTTTAGCTAAATTGAATTTGTAATTTTTAAAAATTTTTTTAAAAAACTAAATTTTATAGATTTAAAAAATTATTTATTATTTTTAATATTTCTAATACCTAAATCTAGCATCATCTAGTCACTTTAATAGTATTTAAATGCAATCTGTTATATTATTTCAAGCAGAAATAAGCTACTTGTTTAACTACTTAAAGTTCATAATGAAAGAATCTTCTCTTTTTTATAATAAGTTCTAATATTGTCTTTCTTATTTTATTTTCAACTTGCTTTACTTTTTTTCTTATTTTTTCTTTTTTTTCTTCTATTCTTTGTTGATTTATCTTTCTTTTTTTACTTGGTCCTTTCATCTTTTTATTTACTTTTTTTTTTTATTTTATTTATTATTCTTATTTTTTTCTCTTATTTATTAATTTTTTATATTGTATTTTCTATATTTATTTGTAAAATATATCTAACTGTTATTGTTACTATATTTACAAACTACTATTTTAATTTCATATTTAAGAACTATATTAATTTACCTTGTGTTTCTTTTAAAATTAGGACTTTAATTAGTACTTCTTTCATTTTTATTTCCTTTACTTCTGTTTTTTTAAAAAGTGTTATGCATAACATATATAAAAGAATCTGAATTTTTTTTTTCAATCTTTGCTATGTTGTTTTAATAATTACTTTTTAAATTTTCTTTTAAAAATTTCTTTACTCCTTATATGCTGTTAAGTATGCTTATATTTCTTTAATTTTATTTTGATATACTTAATATTCTGCTATTATGTATACATCTGGTCTTTTTTTATTAAGTTCTTTTAAGATTAAAAGTTTATCTATTATGTACTTTATAAATATACTTCTTTTGAAACTGCTTTTTCTTGTTATACAGTGTATTTTTTTAATTATTTTTAACTTTTTTCAAAAATATATCTAATTATAAATTGTAATCTTTACTTTTAATTTTAAATTTTTAATTGCTCTTATTATTTTTTTATTTTTATTTTTTTAAAATAACCTCTTTGATCTTTTGATTTTTATTAATAACTTTTTTGGTAATATGATTTAGTAAACTACTATAAAAGAGTGTACAATTAGCTATATATATAACTTTTTATATTACTTATTTAAGGAGTTTGTCTGAAGGTTTTTTACTCATTGCTGTATTTAACACTTTTGCTTAGGTGTTTTACTTTAAACTTTTTGAACTTACAATCTGTATTAATTTTAATGAATCAAATCCAGATGCCCAGATCATTATTTTAATCTTAGAACTATTTTATTTTTGAAATAAACTTTTTGAAGTCTTCTGTATTTATTTTTATAATTGACCTAGTATCATTATAGCAGAACTAATACTTGTAGTTAGGGCTAACTATTAAACTACTATGTTCTTATAAAGTTCACACAGACTTTAGCATCTATTTTATAGCATATCTCTAGTATTTTAGGATATCTTTGCCTTTTTATTAGACTTCTAATCCAGATAGTTTATATAGAACTATAACTAGTTTATAGGTATATTGAATCAGCCCAATATTATTTTTTTCTGGTTTGTTTTAGCAGCCTAGTTGGTAGTATCTTCAAGACTTTTCCAACTCAAAAATTTTTGTTTGTTTAGGTACTACAATTTTGGTATTTGTTTTTAGTAGTTTAGCTTTTACAATAACAATTTTGTTATTTTTTATTCTGTTTTTAATCTTATATTTATTACTAATTTACAAAGCAGTCTTGCTAGTATGTTAGTTCATCTGTTTTCTACTTTAAACAGTATTTTATCTTTTTACAACTAACTTTTTTGGCCTGTATTATCTTTTTACTTGTTGATGTTTCTTTTTCACTAGATTATTAGTTTTGTCATTCTATCTATCTTTACTATAAATTTTTACTTTAACTAATTCTATCTGAATGTTTTTTGTCTTGAGAAGGTTTTAATTATTATATTCATATTGTATTCTTTTTTTAATAATCTTATTCCTGTTTACTTTTTCTAAACTTCTACTAATATTTTTTATTGTAGCATTACTGTTTGTATATATCTCTATTTATTTCTTTTTTAGTAT